CGATATATCGTAACTCGACTGCAATACATACACGTCGCCTTTGGCGTTTCGCTCAAGCGAATTTTTAGCAATTTTGCCAGCTTGTATTGAACTGCATCCGGAGCACACCGCACAAGTTTCGGGCTCCTGATGCGAAAAGTAAATCGTCTGTTTGGGATAACACGCCCAATCCGTACATTTACGAATGTAAGCAATGTAGGATGGCGGCGGATCTGTATTCCAAACAATACCCCCGAAAGTGCGGGGGTTACACCCACGTGCATCAACCGCCACCAACGTCTGATCAGCCATGCATCCCCTCGTTATCTGATGAAGACGCCCACAAGAGGACGTTGACTGAAGCTGTCAGAAAACCCCTGTCAAATTAACTGTTACCACTACGAGCGTTTAAAGCTACCAGAATTCTTTTCTACCAAGCACCATTACTGGCTGTTTTTTGACGGCTCGAAAATGCTATCAGTACCTCGTAGAACAGCGCAACTAAATCGTATTAGTGTTCGCGTGTCGTGGATGCACACAACACACGAGGACCCGGGTTATTAATTCCTGCAAATTCGTCTCCCGTTTTTAACCTGTGCCCCCCTTCCACCATGAAGTATACTGAGCCTGCACATTATCTCTCATTTTTCTTCGCTGCAAAGCACTCGACATTTCACCGACCTCATCCTTTCCTCCGTGCGTTTATCCTGCTACCCAGCCGCCCATTGCACTCGGCTATTTATAAACACTACGGGTCTTATGTTTTCTTGGTTGTAGCGGTCGGCATCACCCTGCCCACACTCGTTTCCTTATAGAGCAAAAAAGAAACAAAATAACACGTTTAGACGTGTGATCGTATTTAGTTGCGAAAACTTCCTGCTCTTCATGTGCCACAGGCTCCCATAGTGGCTGTACTGGCGGGCCGTGTTGTGGTCGGTTAAGTTTTTCTGCTCCTCGGACGTGTGGTTTGCATATTAAATTCCTGTTATTTGTTTCCAGCTTTCTTCAATGAAATGGTCTGACATAACTAACGTAGATCTCTTCTGCACAGGCATAGTATTTCGTTCGACGAATAAAAAGTAAGTAGTGCTACGAAGCCTCGAGTTGATTAAGGCTACATCACTATTTGGGGAAACTAAAAGCAACTCCGTCATATTTTACTTGCCGAGGTTTCACGGTGTGGATGGGTTTCTAGCAAGCCCATTATTGTACATCGTCTTTCAGCAGTAAGCGCCGGATTTGAGATTCGACGATATTCTGCAGTAGAGTACAGGGGATATTGGAAGGTGAAACAAGGAGAGAAACCAGCAGTACCTATTGGGACCATGTACGGCCTCACCAGTCACCGCATTCCGAAAAAGGCAAATTCTTGTCGCTTTGAAACATTGAAAAGGCTTTTCTGGGGCAGCTTACGATACGCAACGTGTTTTTAAGAAGCTACGGTGGATTTCGATTGCTGTGATCCATTTTAAACCACCCAGCCAGTGTCTAAACCTCCTTTCATGCGCTGTATGTGATGGTCCCCATAGCATTATTGGTGGCCGACCCATGTGTTTGCATGCCGTTACTTCTAAACCACAATACCCAACTGTTTCGTTGAAGAAAATACCCACAAAACAAAGCACGGATGTTACAAAGCCTAGAAGCATTGCCATGTCCGTTAGAACCACCTTGGAAATGTATCTGATACGGCGTATCAGAGAAGTTGACCTCACTTTTGTACACCCAGCTAGCTAATTAGCAACGGTCGCCGAGCGCAAATCTGAACTGACTTTGTTGCGGGAAATTTTGTCTTTCACAGTTACCGGTGGTGCAGCATGTCAAACACTGGACGAAAACCAATTTTAATTTTTCGAAACAGTTAAGTTACCGAAGCGGACAACTCTACATAGAATAAGCCCAGTTCAACTACACTTTTTGGCAGCTCAAAGCTGTTTATGCGCGAAAATTCAGATGCTCGAAACTCACGATTTGCATGTGGCCAAAAGTAAAAAGAAAAACCTCCTC